TTATAATTTAAAAAAAAAAAAAAAAAAAACCACCGTACTCGTTTATTTTCTACGCTGTATACAAAACGAAAGAGGTGTTCGTGTCGCGTGACGAGCGCAGCCGGTTAGCTGACTAACAAGTATCGTGTCCCTGGAACGCGGCCACGCGTATTGTTTAGAAGCGAAACGAGAAAAAAATATCATATTAACGATATCCGCGGCGTTTCGTTACCGTAATTGTTATCAATATTATTTTTATACGTATTTTTTTATAATGTATTACTTCTCCTCGGACGCGTCCCTCTGGGCCAGAAGCAAACTAGTCGAACCGGACGTCTGCTCCACACACACACACACACCGGTAGTTATTAAATTCTATTCGGAATAATATGTAATAAATTATAGGCGGCACAACTGGTTTATTAGACAACAGCGATAATCTTCTATGTAACGCGTAGATTTTTTTTTTCCGTCAATGCATCGGTCAATGAGAACCAACCTCGTAGTGTCTACAACATATTGTTTTCTATTCATCGAATTGCACAAGTGTGAGAACACTCAGCATTGGATTGGCGTCTACTATTCGTTCATACTAAAATAGATAATTGGTAATAGCAAAAGACTGGTAGAGACTGTTTTTTTTTTCGAGGACATTTTATTTGTCGTATCGTTTTGCCGCAAGGGTACAAATAAAATACATAATTAATAAAATTCGTTAACTATTACTTTCGTTTAATGCAAGTAATTAACAAACCATAATACTTACTTTTAATATATTCTGTCATTCACGACTTTACAGAGCCTATTGATTTTAATTATTATTATTTACCGGTCCGATTGTGCCTCATCACAACCGTACGCACCCAATTAAACGTCAACCGCCGGCGGAGTCCTGGTACAACGTTAATAATAATTATAATTATAATTACTATTATTGAAGAGTACCTACTCCGTCATTAACGGCTTGTAAGTTTCTACTTATTTTTTTCCATCCGTCATAAGCCGTTTTAATGGGATACATTAAAAAGCACGCGGCTCATATACCTGCATCTACTGTGCCGTCGGCGATTAATTATATTTTACCACATTAACAACGCGACTAAAAACCTACAGCACTCTCACACACACCCACGAAACTCTGGCCACTACTACCACTAATCCCATCGAATAACTTTGTGTAAATAAAATCACAAAACGCTCTTATTTAAAAAGTAATAATACTATTTTAATATGTGCACGGCACCTATAATTAAGAACAACAAAATTGTTATTTCATGTACACATTATTATGTTTAATTTCAACGTTTGGGGGTACTGTAAGTAATTTAAAGCAACATTATATAACCTCGGATGTTAAGTAACTATACCATTCTTCCTCAATTAAATTCAAAGTAAATATTATAGAAAATCACTCGAATACTAGCTTATTACGAGTAAAAGGCTCTCAGACTTGTTTTAGAACTAGACTAAGAAACAAAAATACATTTCTAAAACTTAATGTTAGAAATCACCGACAGTTCAAATAAACAAATTTTAGTACTCTTTACTATTATTTGTAAACAATTCTGCTGCTGATGTATCATTTAAAATTGTGGTTATCGTATATATCCACTGGCATTTTATTATAATTTCAGTAGCTAACAAAACTTATATACAAGAAACGCAATCAATATTACATAATTAATATTTTTTGAAAATATATAAAATTTAATGTATTTTATAAAATATCGCACGGCTGATTTTTATTGTATACACTGTTTATTCGGTATTTGGTAAAAATAACAGTTTGTTAATTTACAAGGAAATTATGGTAATTTTTTATTATAACAGCAAGTTACACCCCAAGATTAAATCAAGCGTTGCTTTCATATTGCTGTCGCCTAGACCTCACGCAAGCCACACGATTATCCGATAACGAGCTGACTTTCATAACAAAAAATTATACAAAAAAATACATTTTATTTGTAAAACGAAAAACTTGTTTTTATCCTAAACGCCGGGTAACCTAAATCAGATAAACGCGCACACGAATGTATCTATTTGATTTAGGAAATATTATAATAACATGAATTTACACGGTTTAGTTCGCCAACAGGATAATTATTTTTTGTCTGACACGTGTTTTATTTAGAAAAATACCATACGATAATTAACACACAAAAATGTCACGTCGTCAAATATTTTACTAAGTTAATACGATTAAAATACCTATAAGTTAATTAGAAATACATACAAAGAAATCAACGTTTTTTTCAAGCAAATACTTTTGTCACGACTTTTTTATTTACTTATTTATAATTATTTTGAAACATTTACCTTAGTGTTGTTGACACGTGGCGCTACGCCCAGAGATGTTGTGATGAGTCTACATAAGCCGGCGTCAGATAATATTTTCCGGACTGCACGGAGGACGTTCTCTGTGGCTGGCTGGCGTACGGGTAAGGTGGCATCCTCATAGGTGTGGCGTATATGTTGGCACCATTCCTCGATCGTGCTATTAAACTTTGACATGACTTATTCACGTCGGGCATGGCGTACTTTAATTTTTCCCAAAACATGCGATCGCCCCAGTTAACGCATACCGCGTTTTTAATGTACACTCTGAGTTCGGGATCTACGTCTCGGGGTTGAATTTCCCCTAGCGTCACAACAATCAACCGACGATTTTTGTCCTTTAGGCCTTCGTGTAGCGCCGACTTAAACTCAAAACGACACCACTCCGATTCGATGAAATTTTTTGAAACGATCAGAACAGTTCGTTTCGACGATTCTATTGCTTCTACAATGGTGTCGGCTACAAAAGAGCTAACATTAAAATCTCGATAATGGAGACCCACCCTGTACCTAGGAGCACCCTGCTCTAGACCGGGAGCCAACATTTGAACAACGAAACCATCGTCTTTAAGACTGTAGGCTACGTACGCGTCAAACATTCGGTCGTCTTCAAACGGCAAGGTTTTGTGACATATGCGGAAACCGCATTTGTAGTATACCCAAGCACGACATTCGTCTCGGTAAATCACAATCAAATATAGTACCAACACTAGGGCTAATAATAAACACACGACCGTTAGTGCAGTGGGTAAAACGTCTCGAACGATGTGGTTCTCGACTATGGAGCCAAAAAACGACCTGCACTCGGTAGCGTTTTGCTTGCTGATGATCAGTACGTCCCGACTTCCTTCCGGACGACACGAAACTGCCATCGAATCAATTACTCTATCGTTTGGTTCGATCATAAATCGGCGGAAAGACTGAACAAATTCGCATTCGCAAGACCAAGGATTTTCGGACAAGTGTAATTCAACTAATTGTACGTTCACCGATAGTATCCACGTATCATAGTCATACAGCTGATTGTGGTCCAATCGAAGTACCCGCAAGCTTTTCAGCGGTTCAAACGTCATGTTGTTCACGTGGCTAATCAAATTATATTGCAGGTAAAGTTCTTTAAGGTTTTCTACTGTGTTGAACTCTGACCCATCAAACCGCGTGATTTCATTATTTTCAAGATGTAAAACAACTAGCCGTTTGAGCCCAGTAAAAGTGTCATTTCGTATTGATTGAATACCCGAATTGTTGGCAAAAAGTATGCGCAGATTTTTACGGCCCAGGAGAGCATGGCTAGACAAATGAGAGAATAAATTACCGTCAAGATAAACTTCAGTAGCGTCCATTGGTATTTTAGCGGGTAGTTGTGTGTAATTTGACGAGTAACAATCTACAATATTAGATGACCATGGCTGATCGTGATAACACGTACAATTTGCCGGACACGTCATTTCACAATCGCAAGCGTCGAATTCACAACACTGGCACACAGTAAAACAATGGGTCTTGTATGTACAAACAAATTGTGACGGACTGATTTCAGCTAGGGGTATATATTTGTTTTCGCGGTTGTACAACAGCTTACAGTAAATAGCCGCAGTGTCCATAACAAGTGGATATTGACGGAGACTAGCTAGCAGATTTATGCGCTGCAACCATTCCATTTTACAGTCACATTGGAAAGGATTACCGCCGATGTAAAACTCTGGCAAAGGGCGGTCGGCCGGTACGGGTGGTAGACGTATTGCGTTTATATCTAGTTGAGCGATTTGATTAGCGTACATGTCAACTCTAGTGATATTAGCTTTTTTCGAAAACGTGTTAGGCTCCACTGTCATTATACGATTATCGTTCATCAACAGTATTTCCACACTATCAGGTATGGAAAATGGTCCTATGTACGTTAAATGATTGTATCGGACATCCAGCGTACGTATTTGATTTTTCGCGCCATTTCTATTAGATAATTCGGTTAAATAGTTTTGATGTAAATCTAACCATTCCAATTGCGTGGGCAGCATAGCATAATCGAAATCGGTTAATACGTTGGCAGATACGTTCAACCATAAAAGACTGGATACATCACGGAACAAGTTATCAATGTTCGACAAGTGATTACCGTCTAGCCTAATTGCTTGAATCTTGGGGATGTTTTTAAATGCTAATTTGTCGATGTAATCTATTTGATTATTTGCTAAATTAAGAATCTGTAGTGACTGTAAATTCCCAAACGCAATCGATGTCAAATTCCTTACTCGGTTTCCGATCAGTCTTAAGCCGTACAAATTAGACATGCCAAAAAAGGAATCAGGATTAATTGTACTAATTTTATTTTCACCCAAATCTACGGTTTTTAATAGTCTCATTTCTCTCAAAGCGGCGGGCACGTACTTCAGTAAATTACCACTGAGGTTAATATCCTGCAGGGTTGTACAATTTCTGAAGCTATCTTCATGAACGTCGGCCAGTCTGTTGCCGTCTAACGACAATAATGTAAGTGCATACAATCCGTTCAATGCTAACGGGCTAACCTCAACGATTTTGTTACTCGAGAGTATCAACGTGTCGAGGTTCCTCAGCGGTATGAACGCGTCGTCGGGTATGATTTCGATCAAATTACCAGCCAAATTTAATATTTGTAGCGTATACAAATCGTGGAACATGGTCGGATCTAGTTTTACTATTTTGTTGTTAGACAGGTTCAAAGTAACCAACCGAATGAGCCCAGTAAAAGTACTAGCATCAATCCATGCACTGGTCAATTGATTATAAGACAAGTCCAACGACGTGAGCTGATATAAATTAATGAACAACCCAGGTGACAGAGTATCGATACTGTTGTTTTGCAGATAGATTTGTTTTATCGTCTCTGCTACGTCTTTGAACATGTTGACTGGAAGCGACGAAATATGGTTACACGACAAATCTAGTATTTCAAGATTTCCAAGTCCTCCTAGAGGGCGATCAGCTACTTCCGATATTTCGTTACCGGCTAGTCGTAACTCCGCGAGGCGCCGTAAAGAGCTAAAGCCATTTGTTGGCACACTAAAAAATCGGTTCCACGATAAATCTACTGACTGCACGTCTAAAACACAAGGACCCGTATGCGTTTTTTTCTGATACTGATCCATATTGTACACATCGTCGTGACTACTGATCAGTGGCTGAGGAGGTGCCGGCGTGCGTTCTTTAAAGCCCAAATCACTGACGTCTCGAATACGGTTTCGACTCAAGTTTAGATGTACTAAATTTGGTAGCTGGCAAAATGTGTTTTCAGGAACAGCCATGAGATTATTCGTGCTTAAATCGAGTCGCTCCAGTCGTCGTACATGCGTGAAGCTACCGGCTACTATTTCCACGATCATATCGACGTCTGGCCAGTCAGATACACCTGTTCTAACGGTCAGATTCCGTAGGTCGTCGAGCCCTGTAAGCGTGCCGGCTGGCCATCGAGACAGCTTACAAGAGTCGAGCTCGAGTTCCTTTAAGCGCACTAGATGGGCAAAACTCTGGTTCTCGAGTGAACTTCGGGCCGCCACAGTAGGATCGCATGATATTAATAGCGAAACAGTGTGCTCGGATGGTATAGCTGAAAAGTTAGTCATATCCATTTCACTGTTTATAGTTCGAAGTGTGCAAGCCAGCACCACTTCGTCGCCGGATGGGTTGTCGGCCCGAACACGCCAAGCACAGTCCTCGGGAGCATCGTAATTGAGGGCTGCCACGGAAAAATTTACAGCAGCTTGACCACAAACCGAGTGCCATACCGGTATAAGGATAAGTATAGAAAAAAACACACACATTCCGCGGTTAGAAATCGCGAGCGGTTAAACGCGCATCGGACAAAACCGCGCGCGAATATCACCACCTGCCCGAGTTTAGTTTATCACGAACATTAAAAAAAAAAAAAAAAAAAAA